AGAATTCCTAAGCTACTTGCAGTGCTTGCTACAATAAAAAATGTCCTGATAGAGAATGAGGTCAGGCGTGCACCACAAGGCAACCACAATTTTACAAGTTTCAGTTTCCGCCATTATGGGAGGAGGAAATCGAAGATTGCTCGAGCACTGACATCGATTGGTAAGCGAGAATGGTGCAGTCATCTGCTGTTTCATTTCTTGTCCCACCGGTTCAATGTTAAAATATAGGCGCTATCGCAAGATCGGGGGCATAATGGTGGCAGTGCATTTGAACCAACGTAAAACATTTCTTTTGTGTTAGGCTCTGGACTAAGCCTCAAGCGAGGGGGAGAGACTCCAAGGGGCATGCTGCAATTTCCACATTCCTCAAACCTCCTGCCCCTCCTAGCTGGGTCGATTTTACCCCGTATCTTGGGATAGCGCCAAAATATTTTTAACAAAAATATTCATGGTGGCGAACTTCCAGGTGATCTGATAACGCCGCTACTCTCTTTTTAGCTCTTCGAAAAGCATTCTTCGCAAGAGAACTGTAGAAATTGGGCCTAAAGCAATAAGACCAAACCTGTTGGTAAGCCTTATTAGTGGATCGAAACCATTTGCCGCTCCGTGAAAGACGTTCAAGGAATCAATAATCACAGCTCGTTCGTTGTCCCCTTTTGACCACGACTGGATGCTTTTTCGTAAAGCGAAAACTTCCTTCCTGGTGACGCTACCTGTAAACTCAAAAATATGAGCCGATATGAAGCATATGTCCATAGAAAAGCCTACCGCTCCCTTTGCTCAGCACGGTCAACATGCCATTCAAATCGTTCTTTAGACATAAGAAATCCTGCTCGCTAAATGGCTCTTCTTTGGGTAACGAGAGTTCCTGATTCTTTCCCGTACCGACCTCGATTTTACCATTCTTCGTCACAGTAACCGGGTCAGATTTCATACCGCATACTCTACAAACAGCTTTATTAGCAAAATATAATAATTTCAACCTATTTAGTTCTGCGTTTGTGCTCAATATTCATGCTGATGAAACTTCACAAAGAGAAGAAGAATCATTAGGTCTCTCCGCATCGGCTTTCCCGGAGACGGAATATCCTCTACAAAAGGTAAGCAAACAGCTCTATTCAGTCCATGCTCACCAAGTAGAGGACGCACCGCGTTCTATTTCGTTTGAAACCACGGTAAAATCAAGTCCAAATTAGCCCATGAAATGTTTTGTGGGAGACAGCCAACACATAAATCAGCGTTTTCATCCTCTTCAAAAAAGTTTGGTCCTATTTACCCGACCCGAAAGCAGAAAATCAATTTAGCGTGGAACCCTCTCAATGCTACGCTAACTTGATTTTTTGCTTCATTCTAGGGGAAACGCGCAGAAACGCGCGCTACTCACTTCCACACCTCATCTACCCAAAAACCTCTTTGGAAGCGGTGTAAAAGTACATTTTGCGGAGCTTGACATCCTGTAAACTTTTCACTCTTACTCCCTCACAACATAGCAAGCCACCTGAACTCTAGACAGAAATTTATAATACACATATGAAAATATACTGTCTTAGTAAACATTTCATATTATTTTTCTGTCAGTTACACTTCTCAGCACTCGAACTCCATCCAAAGACGGCGCTTACGGCGACAAACGATTACATGGAACTGGTAAATCTCCCACCTGATTATATTTGCCGCATAACTGGACCATTGAAGTTGAGTCAAAGGTTTGCGCTCAAATGACAAGGCGCCCAGGTACCATTCCATCACTTCCTTCTGCCGTTCCTGAACCTTCATGTTGACAAAACGCAATACTGAAATGGCAACAGTTCGCGAAATGACGCACCGGATTCCTTAGAATAAAGCTTGTTATGTGAAATACAAGTATAGGCGAGTAATGAGGTGATAGTGGGCATGAACCCATAATAGACCTGCAAAGTTGCATGTGTCGTATTCCATCATAATTGACACTTATTCCGTGAAGTCTCGATTGCCGGCAGTTACTGGGACTTATCCCACTGTCAATGTCAAGGGGCAGCTGGCGCCACTTTATTGAATGGACTTCCCGCTCGGAATCTTCATGTTTGTCATATCATTGAGGAAATCTCACGCTACCGTTCGAGATTGGATCAATGACGCATCAAAGAAGGATAGCTGCAAAATCACAGATTGACACAGCTCCAAGGAGGAAAAACAAAAACAAAGAAAAACCTGGCATAAAAGGATAACCATAAGGAATATAGCGTTTTCAGCAGTGTTATGAACTGGATTATCGGATGCGCACGCAATGAGTCCCCATTCCTGACTATGTGCAATCAACGCCACACATATACCTAAGCGTACAGGCAGGCAGGCGGCCATGGGAATGAAAAACCTGCATTTTTGTTTTTTCAGACAAACTTTTAACAATTGGATGACTTTGAAGGGATTACAGTCTCGCCTTGCTAGAGTGAAATCTAACCAATCCCCATCACTGTCCTTGCTCATTTGGCGATGCTCGATGACCTTCCATAAGTGAGTTGATGTGATTGACAGGGTCTCGCTACACTTGTTTTTGAGTTAACATTTTATTAACTGTTGGCTTTAAGATCTAGGTAAGCCACATCCGAGAGTTGGGGTAGGCGTGTCACCGGAAGTGACGTGGCTGCTGCCGCACTTGATAGAAGTTGCGTGGATAAGCTGTTGCCAGCATGCTTTGCTGATATCCAGCGATGTATGTTGGAAGCAGCTTGTCCGCGCGACATCTATCAAGTGCGGCTGGCGCCCAACTCTCGGATATCGACTGTGTGTATGTATCATCTCTGTCTGGGACTCGACGTCAGCCTTCGACCACTTTGCGATTCCTTCATTCGAGAATGACGGGAGCGGGAACTGGAGCACTTGCTGAGTGCCTCCCTTAACATAAAATGCGTGTCGAACTTTTCGATGTGGAAGGAGCGTCGGGAGTGGACAAAGAAATAGCAGCCGTACAGGGCGAAATCATGGTTGTAGGGTGAAGAATAAACGAATACCTCAAGCCTCAGCTCCCCTGCTTCGTAGATGAGGAAACCAAAAACCTACGTGGATGTTGAGCCGACTGGTAGATGTAGATAGTGTACATTAAAGCGACGATTTACGATGGAAAAGCAACCCATTCCAAATTGAGGTAGAGATGGTGAGTAGTACCAGAAAGAAAGCGAAACCACGAAAAACGGCCCAGAACCGGAGAAATGGGACCCCTTCCTTGTCCGTTGATTTGAGCATTGATGGGACTCTCATCGCTTTGCCCTCTTCAACCCTACGCTCTCTCAGCTATCTAATCACTCGCCACCTATTGTACTACGGCGAGTGATCAGACGATCGGTGGGCGGAGATCGCCGAACTCGCCAACTTTGAGCCATGCTAGATCTCAGAGGTCAAATCTTTCGATGCCGATTGCGTGTCTGTCCGCACCCTCAAGAGATTCACCGCTCTCCCCACTAGGCGATTTCTCCCTTCTTCGACCTTCGTTCTTTCCGTGCAATCCTCCTTTAAACTTTTCAAACATACAGAAAGCGGCACGGAAAACTTTAAAAATTTCGCCAACTGAGAATGTGATCCTATTGCCCTGGTCACCTTAGACAACCCTCACAATTATCAAGTGCTCAACGTCAGTGTGGAACACATAGGCTTTTCTTAAAATTCGCAGAATCGTAGCCCATTCTATTTGAATGGGCCCAAACAATAAAACGCAGAAGTCAGGTTTTCATCTAGTGGATGTTCTGATCCAGCCGCACTACATCTTGTAAGGATGGGAGTGTTCACAAGCACTAACTTTTGAGCAATAGAAAGGCTGCAAACGGCCTCAAACCCATGCCTAATCATTTTCGATATTTTGTGCCGCCGAATACATGAAAGTCAACCTCTGAAGAAACTGATTTGAAAACTTACTGATTGCAACGGCCATCGATGGAGGCAGTCGAGTGGACTTGAATCTTTCGCGTAGATCCTTGCAAAGAGCGACGATACCCTCTTGCAGATTTTCACTCGACTTCAAGCGTAGCGCACATCGACGACGCAGTTCGCTGTCTGCGAGCAGACGTGCCGCTTCAAGCACTGCCGGTCCAGTCAACGTTGCAAGATTAGCACGAATAAAGGCACATCCATGGGAAAACTTGTGACAGAGGCGAAGCGCGGAGATGAAACGACTTGGATGTGTAATAGATGAGAAATCAGCTTCTTCTAGAGGTACGGAAAAGTCGACAAATTTCAAAATCGGATGTGAAGAGACTTCCTCCGCCTGAAATATTCATTGATGTAGCACGAAAAAAATAGAAGGGACTTTGAAAGAAAATGAGCGGTCTATAACTTACTTCATCCAAGGACAGAAGTTGAAGAAAGTTCTGTGACGCTCATCTGTGGCACTACCTCAGATTTCTTCACTTCCTTCACAGGCGCAGCATGGTCCTTGAGCAGCGGATTAGAGGTGGATGCCTTGTTGATGGCAGCCGTGGTAGATGCTTTGAGCAACTTTTTATTCATGGGCTGATGAGCTTGTCGACTTCGATGGAGCGACAGACTCAGTGTCATAGGAAACGGTCTCGGTTGCGGATCCGAGTTTGAGTACCATTTTTACGTCTGCGGGGTTTGCTCGGTGCACTACAAAGTCCTCTGGCAAACAGCACTTGTCCATAGCACTAAAATAAAGTGTTTCACTGAAATGGATTCCAATGGTTTTCTTAAATATCATTATTCCATACCCTAGCACTAATTCTTGTCGTCACCGAGAGCATTTTTATCGGCTATGTTAACTCCTTGTTCGGCCAGCGTTTGCTTATAGCGTTGAAAGCTGTGTTTCCTAATGAAATGTGTCACCCACGAGGCTGGACCGCACTTTCAATATGACTCAATCTCGGCTTCGAATCAAATGCGATCGTGATGCCTGAAAAGCTGATAAAATGCTAATCCCTCGAAGTCAGCAACTCTGAAACCCCTGACACAGAAGATAATTGCCGCATTTCATAGTTTTTCCTTCGTGAAAATAGTGTAAGAGCGGCGCAAAGGCTCTTTTCGAAGCAGAAGCCTTCCACCACAGATGAACAATTCTGATGTTTCGCCAGAAGAGAACTCTTGTCTAGCTTACTAAAAGCTTGAATCACCAATTCATTACAAACCTATTCTATGGAAACCACGAAACTGGTGAATCCTCTACAATACTCGCACGAATCTGATTTCTGCACTAAACAACGTAATTTCCTTCTCTTAGAATCTGTTGCATCCCTGTCCAGGTAGTATAAATGTAAAAGTCAAAATAAGCATACCTCGCTGCTGCGGACTTTCCCCAGGCGTACTAGTTCTCTCTCCGGATGCAATTGTAACGTAGGGTGCCGTCCTCGAGCCGCTGTATACAATGCAAACTGAGCAAATCTCAATACACAAAGCGTTTCTCTCTCACAGCTGCCGCGTGGAATGTTTGTAGTAAGGCCGAACTCCGAGTAAGTTTCTCAATGGGTCGACGGGGGCGTACGCAATGCCAAATTAACAAATGATGAAGACCATCTAAATTGAAAAGAAAAGAGGAAGAGGAAATAGAGAAAAACGAATGAGAACCTTCGAAGCGGGCCCCTTTTACAGGTAAACTATGTGCCTTGGCCGGGATAGTGCGTTCTATTCATTACTCGTATCTCTGTAAGAAAACGTTAAAGGTTGGGTCGAAGCACATCACGCCGCCAGGCCTCCCGCGTTGATGGCGTCCGGTTTCCAGAGCTAAGTTGGAGTAAGAACCGGATGGTTTGAGAGGAAGGAATTGAGGTTACTTCTCACTGTAGTTAGACACGCACCTCCTACGACTTCTTGCCGACCCGCATACCCCTCAGCCATCCTTCCAAAGGAATCGATCACGCTGGTTTCACGTCGTATCCGCCGAAACTTCTGCCATTATACAAGTGCGATAAGAGAGGAGATAGATCATAGTGTTGGGGCCGACGCATAACCCTAGGGTGTATGCGATACCGATGAGATAAGACTGCTTCCAGAAAGGTGTACCCAGCATGAAAAATCGAAGCGGACAACGATAACGCATAATCCGTATCATGCACGTCTGCTGTCGCTTCTCACTGCCATCATTCATGAGAGGTGCAACGCCGAACCGGAAGTGGTTTTTGCGCCTTATCAATGCCGCTGATAAGGGTGCGCAAGCTGCCCCCTGTAAAACTGTCCTGTCGTCCCGTCGGAGGAACCCCTACCCAATTCAGCAGGTCACTTTCCCTATTGGTCTCCAAGAGGAATTTCCTCGACCACTTCCTTCAGGTAGGTGAACTTTCTCGATACCCTCTAAGGCTGGTGTTTCGAGTCCGCGATCCGACGCGTCGCGCGAATCGCAAAGTCGCTAGTGCCCCATTTGAACATTTGAAGCACTGATATTGAACAAGAGGAATCAGGATAGTCGTCATTCAACCACCAAACAAACAATGAGCAGAGAAAGCGGGCAGTTGAGAGGCACCTCGCACTGGTAATCGGGGCCCTCGTAATTTCTGCGATGCGTCGCGCGACGAGTCGCAGACTCTGACAGCTGCCTTACTGAGCGCATATTCTGCTGATAACTCCTAAAATAATGGTCTGATAACGCTCTGGTGTTGCAAAGGATCGCTAAATCGGAGGAACAGCCTGTACTTCTCAGCGAAATGCATCGAAGACTCGAGTAAAATGAAATACTGTTCCACATCAAGCATGACTTCATAAAGCACACAAAGCATACTAAATATTCAAGAAAATCGCATAATTTAGACCTAACGCCGACCCAGTAACGCACAGAAGGACATGGAACATTGATACCTGATGGCAGTGCTGTCTATCCTTTTTCAGTGCTACGCCCTTGGTCGCATCGGACATCACCGTCCAAAGCTCACTTTCTTAAGAAATAATTGGAGCAGAGCAGTCAAAACAAGTGGTCGTACAACATGAGAA